CACCAAGCGACAAGGAGCCAGAATCATGAGCAGCATTGGGCCATCATCATCTCACGAATCAGAAGCCGGCCGCCGCACAGACTGGCAATATTCCGAGTAGGAGCGGTGTCTTCTGTCCAACAGTCGGAAACCAACAGCAACGGTGGAGATCAGCAAGCGACAAGGAGCCAGAATCAGGAGCCAGAATCATGAGCATCATGGAGGTATTGTTTCAATATTCAGCAGCCGGCTGCTGACCAGATCGAGTGCGAGAGATACTTCGGTCCAGTAAGGACCAGACTCGTGAGCATCATTGGGGAATTCGCTTCAAGAATCAGAAGCCGGCTGCCGCAAAACATCACGGGTAGGAGTGCTGATTCAATCTAACAGTCGGAAGCTATCAACGTGACGGTGGAGGCAACAAAGCGACCACGAGCCAGAATCATAAGCATCATTGGGGTTTCCCTTCAACCCTCACAAACAAGCTTTCCACCAAACGTACAACATCATGAAGTCAGCGGTTTTCGCAATCTGGCAACGAAGTGAAACTCAATGAGGTACAGCCCCGAAAGCCAACAACACGGTCAGTGCATGTGCTTCCTTTCAGCAGCCAGACGCCATCAATAGAGGAGGCAGCACGGGCTATCCAGCGGGCAAGAGCCAGCATTGGGGTTTCGGTTCGGCAAGCTCGACCAGCAAAATCACTCGAAGCGCATGCCCCTTAGACAGGCAACATCATGGGAAATCAGCGGTTCTCGTAATCTGGCAAAAGGAAGAAACGGCGGCAACAGAGGCCGCCAATCCACTACAATATAGAATTATGAGCATCCGGCTTTCGTTTCAACAATCAGAAGCAGCCTGCCGCCCCTACCAGCAACATCATGACAGTCAGCAATTTTTCAATGAGGCAACCAGGCTACATGCATTGTCACGGGTGCCTCGTTCCCACGGACAGAAGCCAGCTCACAGCACGGGCTATGGAGCTAAGGACAGCCAGAATCATGAGCGTCATCGGGCCATCTTTTCAACAAGCAGAAGCCGGTCGCCGCCCAGACTCGCAATATTCCGAGTATGAGCGGTGCTTCGGTCCAACAGCCGGAAGCCAGAAACGTAATAGTAGAGGCCACCCAGCGACCAAGAGCCAGAATCATGAGCATCATTGGGCCATCATCTCGCCAATCAGAACCAAGACTAGCAACATTCCTGCTTCGGTCCAACAGCCGGAAGCCAGCAACAACAACCGTGGAGGTCACCAAGCGACCAGTGAGGATCCTGAGCATCATTGTGGCATCGTTTCAATCTTCAGCAGCCGGCCATGCACACGGCAACATCACGAGCAGGAGCAACTAGGGCAGCGTCCAGAAAGGCCGAAACCTACATAAAAGATGTTCCTTGCGACAGTTTCCTTCCGATGGTTTGTTCTCAGGCTACGCCGCAGCGCTGCGGATGCGGCCCTCGCGCTGCAGAAACGTCAGCGCAGGGGCCAGGCACGGTCAGGCCTGCGGAACCAGCGCAGAGCGTGTGAGGACGGTGGTCCCTCCGCCGTTTCAGCAGACTGATGAGATGTACTTCACGCAGATGACCTCCGCGACCGTTAGCAAAGTCTTGGTGCATCATTCTTTTTGCGGCTGCGTGCAGCGCTTGCTGCAGGTGGTGGTGGTAGGTCGCAGCCCTTGTGCCTGTGCAAGGGTGATGGTTGTGGAGTTTCATGAGATGCCCAGCTAGACGAGCCGAAAGGCGCTGTTCAAGTGCAAGCCTGGCAGGCCAAGCCGCTGAAGAAGCAGCTGCCCGAAGTTTGGAACGAAAATTGTCGAGCTCATGATATTGTTGACAAGAGGTGACGAAAGCCACTGAGATGGAGCCGAGTTTCGGGCATCCTCCGCCGATCCTCAAATGATCTCATAGCTTAGATACCGGGGGGCCCCTGACCTTCGGTGCCAGCGCGGGATGGCGGCCCAGGCTCCTTCTCTTGAGCTCTTCGGGTTCAGGAAGGGCCTCTTTTTTCATCTTTTTTGGAGCATGTGCTTTTGGATGTAATGCGTGACCTTCAGTTGAAGTTGCTGGGTCTGCCGTCGGGGCACTTTCAGCCGAGCTTCTTCTTGCTTTCAGGATGCAGGCGAGCTGAGCCTGTCTCATCCTCGGCCTCACCGCACCAGACTGTGGAACTGCTAATGGGCATGCCTGGCGCATTGCTGGTGACCTGAGGACTGTCCTCTACTCGAAGGCTGCCGGCACTCAGCAGCTGTCAGTTTCGGCGGACATCACTGGTGAGGTGCGGTGTGGACACCATGGAGCGCTTGTGAATCTTTGAGCCGCGCAGGCGCTGAAAGAGAGGCTTCGCGAAGCCTTGGGCCTGGATGCAGAGGCCGGCGGGCACTCTGGGGGGGCTGGCGCATTCGATCCATGGAGCAGGTCCTACAGCGCATGTAGCAGGCTCGTTCGATCCGACTTGCCCGAGGTGACTTTGGCGCTGAGTTTCCAAAACGGGCGAAGCCCTCATTGCACTGTTCGACGCAGCGCACGTGGCCAATCAGTACAGATTAGTGCTTGAGCCATGCCCCTCCCAAGATCACGAAACTCCGTGAAGAAAGTCTTGGAGGCGTCCGGCCCGGCGTCTTTCTCACGCCTTTCATGGGGCCAACCACTGGGCTACCGGTTCTAAGGCACAGCAAAGCCTTGGCGAGCAGGGCGTCGAGGCGCGGGGACCTGGCCTCCCGCAGCATCTGCCCCAAATGCAAGCCCGTCCCCTCGCTCGCTCAGGACGGCGCTTCGTTGACAGTTAAGGCTGACGCCGTGGAGGCTTTCCTGCAACGGTCCGATGTCCGCTACGAAAGAAAGGCACGGCTTTGCTGCCATGTGTGCTCAGACTATTGAAAGGTTCGGCCGGAGAATTCCTTCCTGCGGGAGTCCATTCGTAACAACGGTGGCAACAGTGCTCTGGTGGCATTTGAGGTCTCGAGAAATGCTCCAAAATCCAAAGCTTGTTGTTCACATTCGTGGCAAGGCTACTACTATGCGCACGCCAACGAAAAGGCTGGACTGGAATTGGTTGCTGCAGCGCAGTGGTTGCAAGATGTGGTGGGAAGTTGAGGAGCTTCCACCGGAGCTCCGCTACGTCTATGGGGGCGAGCCCATCAAGCTTGAGTCCCAAAATGCAGACTCAGGCCAACGGATGCATCGGCGGTCCCATTCATGTGCAGGTTCTCACTTGTATGCTGGCCTTTGCTCCTCTCCGTGACAGGTGATGCGATTAAGGCTGTGTGGGTGCTCTTTGTGCGCCGCTGCACCGCCTGGTGTCTGCACGTCTGCAATGCCTTGGCGGTTTGAGATCGAAGCTGTCGAAGCATCGCCTGCAGGCATCTGCTGCCCGGCCCCTGACAAAGTATTCCTGGGCAGACGAGGTGCCGATCAGTGGCTTTGGACAGGACGAGTCCCAAAAGGGAACTCCGTCGCCGCCAGGGGGACTTTGTCTGCATCTACGTCTCGGCCGAGGGAGAGCCTGAGGCCGATGCCTCAGAGCAGAGACGCACCGCTCTAGAGCAGCCCCCCCCCCCCCCGGCCCGGAAGGAGGGAGGGAAGGAGGGAGCTTAAGGGAACGAAGGGGACTTCTCGAGAAGGACTCTGGTGACTGTGGTCCTCAGCACCGCTAGAGTGCCCTACAGCTTCGATCCACCTGAGACTTCGGCTCCCGTTCGAAAGGGGCAAGTCTCAAGCCGCAGCTGCTGACGAGCGGATCATGGATTGGAACCCTTCTCGCACTGGGGACGGAAGTGGTTCGCACCACGGAGCCGAATGCTTCCCGAAAGCCCTGTTCCATGCTCTTGTCCGACCTGATGTTGCGCCGTGCACATCAGCTTCGACACGCACAGAATCCAGGTGGAAAGCCTGCCCCACAGCCTGTGATCCGAAATAGAGATGCTAGTGCAAAGGGCTTTGCACGTGGCGGCGTGCATTGCTTCTGCGCCGGTATGCAGTGCTATGCTTAAGGTGTGCTTGTGCCACATGCAAGGCGTCCTGCAGGAGGGACGGCCCGCAAGGATGGAGGTTTTGGTTTGACGAGCGATCTGGTCATAACACGTTCATCGGAAAAGATCCGAAACTTTCCCACTTCGCCTGGAAGGGCGGGAGCCCTAAGCCTGAAGTACAAGATTCGGCTGGACTGCGGGACACTGGTGCGACGGAAGATGTGATCCTTGAGCAGTGACTTCCAGATTTTGGATGGTCGTTAGCTGAAACGTAATGGACTGTGCGTCTTTTGAGTTTCGGAGGAAGATCTCTTTGTCGCGCATGCTGAGGCAATTGAGGCAGCCATTTGCGGAGAAGTGAAGGCACGGCAAGACTCATAGAACTACAGACTTCGGATCTGTCACAGCCCGGGCCAGGAAGTAGAACAGTACAGTAGTGGATGGCCACATGCAGTGCGCATGCGCAGGTCAGTTTTGATGTGCGTTCTGTTGAAGTGCGCGTATGTGACGGCGCCAAGGACTGCATCTTCTTGGCTGAGTGTCTGTGTGGTGTTTGAGGGGTCCGCATCGTTCGCAGATGGCTCAGAGGAGTTCGCTCTGAGCCTCAAGCAGCTGGAGGGCGAAATTGCTCGGGCCTCCGCCATCCTCCGCCTCCGCATGGCTCGGCGAGAAGGTTTTTGCACCGCTGTCGAGAGGTCGCGGAGGAGTCCAAGCACCGCGTGAGCGCAGGGAAGAGGACCATGGCCCTCAAGACGGGTTTAGGGTTTAGGGTTTAGGGTTTGGGGTTTAGGGTTTAGGGTTTAGTTGCTGCACCATTAGTGCTTTCGAAGCAGGATAAGCCTCAAGATGAAGAAAAAGAGGACTGCACAGGCCTCAGGATCGCGGGAGTGCTCCCAACCGGAGTTTGCCGGTCTCCGCCTCTTTCACAGTCTGTACTTATACAGTTCTTGCAGGCAGACTTGTTGCGAAAGCTCGTTTTGGAGGATCTCTCTGCCCTGATTAGCAGTGGCTTGCAGGGAACCTTACAACGAGTCCGAGAATTCCGGTCACAGCTTTAAAGTGCCCTCTTTTCTTGACCAGTTCGAGACCCTCACAACGACACGTCCCTAGTCTGAAGCACCGGCTCATTTGCGCAGTGATCATACTTGTCCCCGACTGTCCCCTAAACCCTAAACCCTTCGTATCTTGCCCAATTCTCTGTCCGAGGGCACCTGGACGAGGCTGCTGCGGCCGAAATGAGCTGCGCCAAGCCTGCCCTCACCCCTCTGGGTGACAGTTTGGCTTCGAGTCCAAACTTAGCTAGCAACATAAGCTTGGCTTGAGTCCTCAGTCTTCAGACATGAATCCCCACCAAAGACTTGGCACAGAAACGGGCAGAACTTTTGGCAAGTGGAAAGAGTTGCAGCCTGCTCTGCAGTGTGCGTCGAGGTTAGCATCTCCGTAGCGCCTAAGGAGCTACTTGTACAGACTTGCTCATGTAGATCGGACCTTGCCTTTCAAGAGAGAGCATGTTGGCTCATCTATTTATGCACCTACTGCCTGCGATGTGAGGCCCGTCGCCCGTCCTGTCCGCATTGCTATTGCAGTGCTAGTGCATGAACCAAAGACTCCGTCTCAGTGACACGCCACGATGCTTCCATGCCAAAAAGGCAATGCCGGTGCAGACTCGCAACCAGAGTCTCGGGGAAGTGTGCTGGTAGGTGCCACGAACAGCTTCGGTTCATTGCTTCGAGCAGACCTAGAGCGCCACCATGCGTCGAAGAAGTGGTACAGTAGCAAAGCAACGCTGCAAGACCGGACCCAGCTCCAAGACAGGTTGTGAGGATCCGAGGTTCATAGACTCAAGACAACTCACAATCTCGCCATCTTCAGATCGGGCCCGGTGGATGCCATGGCACCGCTCATACAGCAGGCAACCCTTGGGTAGGAGCAGTCCATTTGCTTACACGGACCCGCGGTTTGCCGATTGTCCGACTGCACAAGGCTGTGCCACTGTCGGCGGAGCCAGGCTTCCTGGACAGTGCGCGCGCCATGCTTGTAGCTGTCTGGGAAGATGTTCACTAGGACGCCAGGATGTGCAAGCCTTAATCAGCACGGGACCCAGCCATTTGTACAAGGGGTCGGGTGCAGACATTCGGGGAGGCATCGCTGGCTTCTTGCAGATTTCCTTTCCATAGCAGGATGGCCTGGCAATGTGGATGTCTGGCTGGCAGGTGCCGCTGCATTCCCTTACCGTCGCACACATACACTCGCCGACACGCCCAAGCACAATCGCGTTGATTCATCCACGCATTATGTCCTTACTGGTGGCATGGAATGCAGGCAAGCAACAGCAGTTTGTGGGAGTGCTCAGAGAATAAACCAGTCACCTTGGCGCAGCAGGTATTTGCGGTCTTCTGCCCGTCGCTTTCGTGCTGGGCTGCCTCTACATGACAAGGAAGCAGCCAAGAAGAGGTGGCTTCTGCTTTCGCGCACAGCAGTGGACATACATGTAGACTGCCCATGACGAAGCTCAGACTCGTTCTTCATGACTTGGATCATGATTAATCAGCCCTTTGGCTGGAGGAGGCTGCAGAGCGGTCCTCGAGGGCATACAGGCGCAGTTTAATTCGGGTGGAACTTACAAGGATTCGACGATTCGAGGGGTATTTTGGTCCGGAGCAGTTGGTGGCAGTACGAGTTGTCGTTGCAGCTGGAACGGATGAGGGATTTGTTGGCATCGCTTCCTTCGCCAGGTGACGCTGCTCCTGGTGATCACGGGATCCTTTCCATTCAGCTGTGCAGAAGCTGTTGCAGGCCTCCTTCCAGCAAATCTGATCTTGGCGCCTGTGGAGTGTCGGAATGCTTGGAGGGAGCCTCTCCTGCGCCTCAGCAGCCGTGATCGAACTCGGCTCCGGTGCTCCGGGCGAGCTTTCCGTCTTCATGTCAGACTTCCTACGGTCCCCACTTCCGCCGCTTCCCTCTCCCGCTTCGGCTTTGCCAGGTTCAGAGCTTCTGAGCACAGGCGGGATGCACTCCTGCACTTCCCAACGCCACTCTGGCACTGTCCAGGCTTGGGCGCCCCCGACTCCATGCTGCTTCGGCTGCAGGCACACTTCGTTGCCCTAGCTCGGTGCTCAGTGTCGCTGCACCCCGTGCTTGGTTTTCATGTGTGTGGATGAAGAGTGTCTGTACTGTACGAGGAGGGTGCAACTTTTGAAGTGTGGAAAACTTGGAGGTAGATAGCTTTTCGTGACTTTGTACCGAGGCGCTGGTCTTCGCCTGCGACTTAGAAGGTGGCAAGAGGCGGAAGAGCTTGTTCTGAAGAGTGCCAGCGTCTTCCGGATTACCGAGGCTTGGTGGTCCGCAACGAACCCTCTTTGGCCAGGCATCCTGGAAAGTATTGGAATGATTGGCAGGGCACGATGCAATGAGGCTTTTCACTGACACTTCCCCAAATTTCCGAACACACGCCCGCCCGTGCTGTTCCATCAGCCTTCCTTCTGGCCATCGCATCCACCTGTGCAGGCCCTTTCTACAGGAGTGGTGTGGATACTGAAGAGGTTTCTTTCCTGGATGCCAGACTGTCGGACATTCGATGCAACGGGGCCTGCTGACGGAAAGCCAGAGCTGTTCACCCATCATTACATCAAACCAAAATCCCAACCCTGGCCCCAACCTCTTCAACTTCAAGCCCAAACCTCAAGATCAACGGTTGTGGGACCGGCTCGCTCTGCACCTTGAGCTTTGTGTGCGTGTGTGGCTTGTGCGAGGCCTTTCTGACGGCCTGTGCCACATGGATCCTCTGCTCCGGGATTCGGATGTTGTGCAGTGACGGCCGGTGGGCTGCTGTCTCACTTCTCTGGGCATTCTGGGCACACCATTAGGTGCGGCTGCACAGCTATAAGCGATGCGCTATCGCGGTCTAGCTGTTTGTACAAAGGAGGCCTCTTGAGACTGAAATTGACTCCAGCTCTCCGTCTCAAGAAATTCCTCCGAGTTGATTTTGTGCTGCAAGCGCCACGTCAGGGAGGTCTGTGAACGTTCCGTCGCTGTAGCTTCGCTGTACAAAACGAAGACGGTTTGACATGCTTCCATGTCACAACCGGACACTTGCGCAAGCTAGCAGCGAATATGCTGTAGATCGATGCCAGCTCAAGTGGCACCAGCGAGGTCTCAGAGGTACACAGGTTTGCGGAAGATCGGAACTGAGCTGACATGCCTGCCATGGCCGGCATCTCGCCCAGGTGCTCGAAGCAACTGAGCGCGAGCTGTGAACAAGTGGGGACGGGTCATGTGACAGGCGCATGGATCTTCCCTGGGAGCGTGCTGCACTCGGCTGGAGTTGATGGGTGATTGATGATGCACGTCTCGACACGGTGAGGTATGGATGCACAAGAGCAGAAGGCATTGGAGGCACCCTTCCTCAGTAGCTGGCCCGGCAGAGTACCCCACCGTTGCAGCAGCAGAAGCGGTGTGGTTTCTCTGCAATGCAGACACAAGTAAATCAACACCTTACAACTGCGGCGCGCTAGGCCTACTGCACGGATCTGGACCGCATCCTGGACTCGTGCGCGCCCCTGCGAAATCGGGGATAGATCTATGCCCTATCATGGTTACCAACATACGCTGTTATGGTTGCTGTTTCGTGCCTTGCTTCATCTAGGAACAAGGCTGCACGGAAGCAGCCTAGCAAACTCCATGCTATTACGGCTTATGTCGTGTTCTGCAGGTTTGCGCTACTTTGGAATGTCGCAACCCCTTGCACGTTGTCCTCCTCAGTTTCGTCCTGTTTCCTTTTGCCCCAGGTCAACAGATGCACATATGTTCCTTGAGCGTGTTGCGGCTCTCGACCAGAGATACCAGGAGGCCCATCGATTATGGAGGACGATGTCGTCAACGTTGCTAGCTCGCTATGCGATCTCTGGCAGGTGTGGTTTACCGACGAGTTTGGCAGCGCACTGGGTGACCCTATGCAGGACGGCCAGTTTTGCGGATCCTTGCAATCTACTGTGCGTACCCAGCCTGCCTCCCGGCAGCACTTTCTCTGAGCCGTGGATCTCTGAAGGCTTTCCGCGCAGCGCCCACTGCCGGTGTCATCTCTGCTGCTCGGGCGCCAAAGACTGCGAGCGGGCTTGGCATGCAAGGGTCACGCCCTCGGCTAAGCTGCTCGTGGTGTCGGAGTGCTGCACCAGCACGGCGCTTGAGGTCCGAGATTTTGCAGCGGCACACAGCCCTCTTTGATGTGCGAGCAAGGCAAGTGCTGGCCGCTCCAATCGGATGCCTCGTGCCCGTTTCTGCCAGGCCAGATGGTCCACCGGGCCCGCCGGGCCCGCCGGGCGCTCCCGCGCCTCAAGCGCCGCGCCTGCACGAAGGTGCAGGCGGCCCCTGTGGTGCCAACATGTGCCCCGGTCCCAGTCAGAGTCTGCTCTGCCAGGGTCATTCACACGCAACCCGATATCAGCAGCCGGACCGTCAGCGCGCCCTTACCCCAGACTATGTTCGGAAGTTGCTGTGACCTGCAGCTACTTGTTTCCTTGGTGTCTAGGCTTTCCTGCTCCGCGAGCTCCATCGCCCATTGAGCGGCGACCGGTCACATCCACAGTCTTTTTTTATTTCGTATTTCTGCTATCTGTGTGCTTGTGCCTGCTGTGCACCCAAGGCCCCGCCGCCTGCTGCCCCTGCGATGCCGCGCTGCTCCTACTGTGGTGCTGCTATTTCTCCAGAGGCCGATGCACTTCGCCCCGTCGGACTACTGACTTTCTGACCAGCTTGCAGCCCGCAGATTCACGAAAGGCATCCTACTGCAGCCGCTGTGGTATGCAGCAAATGGAGGCACAATGGAGTTGCAAGAGCACTGTGCCATGTGCCAGGCTACGTAGCTGTAGCTGTACTCTGGGGGCATACACGAAGGGGAAGGTGACTCGACGAATCCCTGCAGCAACTGCAACCGCTTCCTCTCCCCTAAAGCCCTAAAGTCTTACGACAGCGATCGGGCTTCTTTCGGCGGAGGGCTGCGCCACCCTGGCCTGAGCCCTTCGCGGCCATCGCGCCGTGCTCGTTTGAGGCTTCGCCTTTGGTTCCTCCGCCTGCGGCAGAGTGGCCATGGCGAGGAGCTTCGGCCTGGGGGAGGCCCAGAGTATCGCAGCGCACAAAGCCTCAGAGGAGTACGGGATTTAAGGTTCAGGGTTGAGGATTTCGGCTTTGGGGCTCAGAGAGTTTCGGTTTGATGCAACGGATTGGGGACATTGGTTGCTTGCCACATCTTGCCACAAAGCAGAGGCTTATACCGCAAACGGTTTCATTTGGGGATCAATCCGGAGCCCCGTCTATTAGCAGACGCTTTACCCAGAAGCCAGCTGAAGACTAGGGGATTTCTTGACAGTGAATATGGCAATAGACAGCTGTGGTTCTGCCAGGATGCCACCCAGAATTTGAACTAGCGGAGTTCTGACGCTGCTGCGGCACTCAACAAGATGTCTGAAATCAAGGGAGAGTGCTGGTCAGTGTGTTCACCGAGTGCGTTGCAAAGTCACAGCGCGCTCTCGTCATTGTGGCCGAGGGAGGCAAGCTGGATTGCCGTTGAAATTGCGAAGTTCTGCCAGGTCCCGTGTAGAGGATAAACAGATCTTTCGGATTGTGCAAGCGGCTGGCACCTTTGGCAGGCCTAGGGGTAACGCACCACAAGCAGTGGCTTGCGGATCGCTCGCGGAATGTCAGCTCGGGGACGGCTGCACACGAAAAGTGCGACTGCGCACTTGTGGGCCTTCTCTGCTCATGTTCTGTGAACTGTCATCTGCCACGCTGTACATGACATGGCCTTCTCATGGGCTTTTGGCTTCCACAGCCGCTTCGTGCAAAGTCCCGTGGCGCTGCTGCAAGGCGGAAGTCAGTGGAGTCGAAATCCAGCCACTGCTGAGAGCCATTGGTCGTTCCGACTGTAAGGCCATGGCCAAGGGCTTGTTGGCCGCTTCTTGGGATGCAGGTGCTCGGGCATGGCGCTTGTTGTCCGCGGGTGGGGGTTTGGGGAATCCTCCCTGCAGGCCCAACGCTGCTGGAGCCTGGAGATCTAAGGCCACACGTTGCCCAAGAAGCCGCAAGCTGCAGAGCTGGGTGCCGCAGACTGCCACCAGAACAAGTTGCAAAAGCTCCTGCAGGTTCAGTCGTTTCCATGCGACATCGCTTGCTTCGCTGGATGAGGTGCTGCCATTTCTCGCCTGACTCATCTCTCTTGGACAGCTCGAAGGGAAGTAGAAACATCAAAAGTTTGCCTGGTGTCAGGCACGTGCTGCCTCGGAGGCAGTGGCTGCACTTCTCCCTAGGCGGGCTTGACTGTGACAGTGATTGGTCCCGTTTACGAGCTCTTGGTCAAAAGAGGAAACTGTCGCATGCTGTCTCAAGCCGAACGAACACCAGGTTGACTTGTGTTGAGCGGGGCTCACTTTGTCCCGACAGGGCTGCGGATGCCACTTTCAGGTTTCACTAGTTTCGCGGATCGGAAATTGCTGCCGGACGTGCTTTGTGTGACATGATTTCCTCAGGAAGACGCAGGAGCTTGCAGACACTGGCATGCGCGTTAAACCAAACGGGAGGCGCCGCAGCGCTCAAGACTGGCTTGGCAACCATGATGCAGGCACCCTTGGCTGCTGTGCACCATTTGCACCAGTATTACCGACACGACAGTCCTGATTTTTCACATGTCAACTTTGGGCACTTTGTTGAAAGGCTTAGTCCCGGCATGTGGCAGTCGTGCTGTGCCTTCGCGACGGGGCGACATCGGCGAGCACCTCAGAGGTGGTCCGAAAAACCCTGCGTTAGCAGACCAAGGGGCAACGAGCTCCCCCTTCAATGCTAAGGCACTTCTTTCCTGGGCTCTGACTCGTCGGCCTCATCATTTCAGCAACAATGGCAGGGACCACCTCCTCAACAGCAAAACTTCCAGCAGCAACAACAGTTCCAGCAGCCCCCGCCGCAACAACAGCAGTTCCAGCAGCAGCAGAACTTCCAGCAGCAAGGCTCGAAGCTTGGCTTTTCATGTGTTTTGTCTCAGCATCTAAGCCTCTAAGCTGCATCATGGGCTCGCTGTGAGGCCAAATGCAGGGACCACCGCAGCAAAACTTCCAGCAGGGCCAGGGTCCGCCGCAGCAGGGTGGCTATCAACAGCAGGGCCACTGGGCTGAACATGATCCCACAGCGTGTTGACTCGAAGAGCAATTTGCATTGAGGCGGCTATCAGCAAGGCTATCAGCAGCAGGGAGGATATCCGCCAAACCAGCAAGGACAACGTCAGTTTGCCACTGCACCGGTTATTTAGGGCACGAGTCGACAGTCAGTACACTTCGATTTCCTGGTCAGGATACTACCAGGGGCAGCCCGGGCAACCAGGCCAGGCTCCATGGGCACCTTACGCTTGTCCCTGCACACATCATTTAATGAGCAGTCGCATTGATGTTGGCGCGGCACATTGGTAGTAGGATCGTAGCGGAGCGATTTCCGCCATAGCTGGTACATACTAAGATGACACACTAGCTGGAGTGCAGCCTGCTACAGTGTCCATTGCCATCTGTCGCGAGTCCTCACGATAGACTGTGGCTTCAATCCCCAGCGTTCTTGGCCCAGAGGTTATCAAGGTGCCCCGGGGGCCCAGGGGGCCAAGTTTACTCAGAGCTTTAGCCGCAGGGAGACCGTCAGATGTAGCTTGTGTCCCAAATGCACTTTTCCACACTCCCCTGCACAGCCACAGTCCCCCACCATGTGACGGAGAAGTCTTGTGGTCGGGCACTGGAGAGGTTACCAGGGTGCCCCGCCGCAGGGTGCAGCCAGGAACCGCAAAGATGGGATGGAAAGCATGTTGAGTTGCAGAGAGTGTGTTGCGGTTGTGCGAACACAAGAGTAGCATTTGCTTCAAGCCACTGCAATGACGCATTGCTTCGCAGCACAGGCTGCAAGTCAGAGAAAGTCTCAGAATTGCCGCGTACAAGCATCCAAGGAGCCCGTCATCTGGGTCGAAGGCCGCGCTTATGGCAGGCAGACCAATTGCAGCATGGAGAGCTAGCAGCGTAACAGAGCAAGAACCGGCGGCTAGCTGCTGTCGAGCCTTTGATACGTGTCTGCGTATCTCTTCCAGGTGTCATGTCCCCGTTTGGCATCGCCATCATCGGAGCCGGCCTGTACTTCTACTGCAAGCACAGCTGGCAAGCTTCAGCCATGTTGCGAAGTTGAACTTTAAAGATGCAGATTGTGTCAGCTTAGTGTCGTGGAAGGTGTAGTGAGTGTAGTGTGCAGTGTCGTTAGACGTCGTGTGCATGAATAAAGGAGTGTTGTGTAGTGTGGCGTCACGTAGTGTGGTGCAGTGTGTTTTTGCTTTATCCGCTGCTCTATTTTGTTATTACATAATCTTCTATTCCAGTATTCTGGGCTATTCTATTCTGTTCTGTTCTATTGTAGTCTGTTCCGTTCTACTCTGCTACTCTATTGTTCCCAAACTGTTGTACACACGATGCGGCTCTAACTTTTCAGTGCAAAACGAATACGTTGCAAGTATACCCTGTTATTAATTTACACAGGATCCCACTGTCCATGCCGACCTGAAAGCCAGGTACGTGGCTTTCGGCCTCGAAGTTTTTGAATCAAGCCAGCCACAGGGCCGGGGAAGCATTTTCCCGTCTCGGAATCCCGCCATTAGATGGGGAAGCTTTCTCGCCCATGGTCCTTCACTGCTAAGTATGCCGCCACAATATTATTCCACAGTCTATGGTACTGTGTTGTGTCATAGCGTCGTATTTAAGCATAGAGTATGTTATCAATATAGCATCTATATATATATATACACATACATGTTTATATACATCTATATATATATATAGAGAGAGTAACGTGTTCTATTGTATCGTAGTGCATTATTTGTAGTTGTATGACATGTATTGTTTGAATAGGTTTAAAAATCTCCATGATACTCCATTGTATCATACTACGCTGCATGTAGTACAGTACTAGTACTGGTAGTTGGAACAACAGGAATAGGAATACGCGGGGAAATAGTAACAGTCATAGTCACAGAAATGGTAATAGTAATGGTCATAGTACTGGTAGTAGGACTGTTAAGAGTAATGGTAAAGCTAGTGGTAGTAGTAGTAGTAGTAGAAGTAGGAGTAGTAGTAGTAGTAGTAGTAGTAGTGTAGTACTAGTAGTAGTAGTAGTAGTAGTAGTAGTAGTAGTAGTAGTAATAGTAGTAATAGTAGTAGTAGTAGTAGTAGTTGTTGCTGTCGTCGTAGTAGTGGTAGTAGGAGTAGTCGTAGTAGTAGTGGTAGTAGGAGTCGTAGTAGGAGTAGGAGTAGGGGTAGCAGGAATAGTGGTAGGATAGTAGGCATAGTAGTAGCCGTAGCCGTGGTAGTAGTGGTAGTAGTGGTAGTAGTAGTAGTAGTAGTAGTAGCAGCAGCAGCAGCAGGAGTAGGAGTGGAAGTAGGAGTAGGAGTAGGAGTAGTAGTAGTAGTAGTAGTAGTAGTAGTAGCAGTAGTAGTAGTAGTAATAATAATGGTAGTAGTAGTAGTAGTAGTAGTAGTAGTGGTAGTAGTAGTAGTAGTAGTAATAGTAG